GTTAATATAAAGGAAATATGAAATTATTATTTGCATTCTGGAAATTATAAAAACATCTGTCCCTGCTCCTCACATTTAAAAAAATATAAATAAATACACCCAGCAAAGAAATGACAAGCTATATTGAATAGCTTGTCATTTCTTTGCTGATTAGAGGAAAGAAATTTCCTGGCTATTTGAATATATGGGCAGTATTCTCTCTGTATCATCTCTTTAGTTTCAGATGGATTGTAGCATTATATTTGGAATTCATATCTTTTTTAAATGGAGAAAAAGACTTCTGCTGATTTTTGTATGATTGTTTTGTAACCATTCCTATACAATGCTATGCCTAGTTATTTATAATTTTTTTCAGACATACTGTTTGAAAACAATATTTAATTAATTACTAATGAATGGATGAAAATTTTGCCTTTTGTACACAACCATTTACCTGTACTTTAATATCACAGTTAAATCTTTACAAAAAAGGCATTCCTATGTGATATTGTGTGATATCAGTAGTGAATGTAACAGTTTATGAATACTAAATTCTATAAGCAAAATGACCACTTTCTCTGGAAAACTAATTAAATTATTTTTAAATTAAGTATAGCATCACACTCAGGTCATATGTAACCTTGTTCTTTTGTATTCCTCTAAAAAATCAAAATTCATCTACTCTTTACAATGGTACATTTGCTTGAAGTGTGCAATGGAACAGTTTTGTAGATAGTTTCTAATTATTAGTAGTATTTGGGGCAGCAGTTGCTACACTGTTTCAATCTTAGCATTGGCTACTAATGTTGGAAAATATACTAATTTATTTTTAATCCACTTTAATTTGACATATATGGAAATTTGAAATGATTTGTGGTTTAAAAAAGAAAGTTAACAGAAGATCAGCCTCTTCACAAAAACTGACTCCTCTGTGCAAAATTTATTCATACAAATGATGATCAAGAGAAGAGTCATTATTTTTGCAGATGAATAAAATCATAACATTAATCATACTTAGTTTCTCTTTTGGATAGAACTTATGTCAACCCATTTAATTTTGGATTACAAGTAGACTACCAAATGAGCCAAGTAATGAAGAATTGTTTGATAAATAAGTTTTGAATTTGATTAATTTTACAAAAATACAAAAAGATTTGTTGAAATGTCTCTTAGTTTTTTATGGCCTTGAAATCATCATTGTTATAAAGAGTTAGCATCACAACCAAATGAACCACAGCACTCTCCTTTCAAACTTTATATTCTTTAATGCATAACATCAATCTGCACACTTTTAAAATATTTACAAGTACTACTTCCTTTCACCTTTCTATATACCACTGTTCTTGATACTACTGCGAGTCATCACTACTTATTTCTTTACTACTATTAATACTTTCCTTACTATAATTACTACTGCTGCTGCTTTGCTGACTCCTGCCATTGCTGCTGCTACAGACCCAGATATTGCACTTTGAATCTGAAGCCAGAAATTCTCTCCTGTTGTCATTTGTTTTACAATTTAATCTGGATGAAAGACATTCATAAAATCTTAAGAAAAGAACTGTAAAATTGACTTTTTTTGGTGGGTGGGGGTCTGTTAATTTCTTTCTTAATTCTTATTTTTTCTTTTTTAGTAATTCAATTTTTAAAAATCCATCTTCATTACAAAATGTGTATATTTCACTTAAATTTTATTTTATCAATATTTTTATTCATTTCATTTGGATACTATTGAAAAAATATTTTGAATAATTCTATATAAAAGACATACTTTTATAATCAAAGCATCGTATTCCAACTGCTGCTATAATTGTACTGCAAATCATAATACAAGGTCAACTCGAGTAATATTCATATAGTTTCTTTTAGTACTGTTTATATTGTGACTACAATTGTTTCTGGAATTTTTCTCTTTCTATCATTGCTATTACAATGGAATTTGCAATATTACTGTCACTACATGGTATCCTTATTAATATTACAAGAATTACAGTCACTGTTTTGTAGATTTACATTACTAATATCTTCTCTTATTACTGCTGCCATGGATATGATTATTGTGGCTCATAACTGGTGTCATTATTATACCTACCACTTCCAAACTAATAAAAGTAATTACAACTTGATTAAAATAATAGTTTTTGTATATATTTTGAAAGCAGTTTATAAAATGAAAATCGCATTTATTTTTGGGGTAATATTAGTAAGGGTCTTATTTAATCATCTTATATATATATATATATATATATATATATATATATATATATATATAGTTTTTCACCAAATACAAAGCCCAAGAGCCACAGAAAATAAAGTTTATTGTAAAGGCATAAAGGGAGAGAGTAAAAAGTGCATATTATGAGGATATGTAGGATAGATAACAGTAGACCATAGACTTTTTTTATGTGTGGGTTTTAGGGTGGAAAATAATCACCTACAAGGCTGTGTAAATGATTTTGAACTCTGTCAATGCTGGAAAGGGAGCTCCAGCCCAGATATGGTATCAATATAACATTTTTGATTTGATCTGACACTTGTAAAAATAGAGCATGGCCAGAGGTCAGGTACTTTCTAGAGTGGTACAAGGAACTGGCCATTTTTCTAGCATCTTTAGTGATAGTGGGATAGTCTGGAGTGAGTTTGTGTCTTAGTAGATGTTCAAAGCAGGGAGATGCATTGAAAGTACAACAAAGGGTCTGGTAAGTGATAGTGAAATGTTACTAGCTTGGTTTTGGAGATATTGAATGCTACAAGTCAGTTGACCTGTTAAAGCTAGGTCAGCGAAGTGGTCAGCTGTTAGCTTCTGGTCATCTACATTTTTGGAATTGCATTCATAAACCATTGCTATGTAATATATATATATATATATATATATATATATATATATATATATATATATACACACACACACACAAATGATCTGAGAATATTCTTAGGCAGATTGTTAATATAAAGCACTGAGGAGAGAGTCTTGTGGCATGCCTGCATTAATCTCATGGGTTTAAGAAGACTGGCCATTAATGACAACCTTCATGGACCAATAGGAAGGATTTAATTGAAAAGACTGTTCTAGAGATATCATAAGCTGGAGAGTTTGTGTAGCAACACCTATAACAACACCATGTCAAAGGTCTTTGTATGTGTATCTGGAGGAATGAAATCCATATTGTTTGTCACTCAGAAGGTTGATTTTGTTGAGGTGATCAATGATTAGACTCAAAATGTTTGTTGATGTGGCTGATATTGTGACAGGGGTTAATACTCACTGGCGTTCTTGTAAACAGGACATACAGCTGAAACAGTGAATATACTTTGGGAACATTTCTCTTTCAGGCAGTGGTCAAACAACTTTGCCAAGATTGGAGATAGCTCTGGGTTAAGGTTCTAAAAAACAACCACTGGAATTTTATCCCAAACCAGTATCCTTCATGGAGTCTGGCAACTTCCCAAGTCAAGAGAAGGATATCAACAAAGTTTTTACTCCATGAGAGAGGAGGGAAGTTGGGTCGGGGATGGCTCTTGTTATCTAATGTGGAATTAGAGGCAAAGTTCATTGTAAAGAATTTTGACTTATCTGAGAAGAACCATTTATAATAGGAGGCATTAGCAGTTTGCCTCTATTGAGAATCATGTTTGCAATTTTACAGAATGTGCAGGAACCAAGTTTTTTGTTTTCAACTTTGGCTTGAATTGCTTGCACATAATTGCTATTAGCATTTTCCAGGAATCTCTTCCACTGGTCACAGGTAGTTTTGGATGCAGCAAGAGTTTTATTACACTATTCCCTCTGATAAAGATGGTTGTAGTGATTATGGTGAGCTTGAAGTATTGAGAGATAATGATGAGGAAACACGTGTTATATTTAACAAAACTAGATGAGGAATTTATTTACAAATTTACACATTTGAAGTTGTCTATAGCTTGTTTCAGGAAAAGGAATCGAATATTTAAAGTTCTTAGCTTCGATGAATTGTCAAGAAGAGAAAATGTTCATATTAAATCATCAGACACAAAGTAATATTCCAAAATGTTTAAAACAAATTGAGAGTTTGTTTTTCACATAAAGGTTATATAGTTGTATTCAACATTAATGACAAGATATATTTTAAGGTATTTGGCTTTAGAGTTAAATAGAGTTCTTTGAAATTGCCCTGCTCTCATTAGAAGCTGATAATGTATCAGTGTGTAATTTATATGGATCTCTGGCTTTCTGCCTCCTGCTTCTTTCTGGTTTTACTCTCTCTCGCTCTCAATTCAACTTACTCTGCCTATATCAAAAAGTGATCTCACATTGATACTAAAGGAAATATAGCTTGATTTTATTCACTAGTTTTTATTGTACATGGTTTTATTTAAGACATATAAACAACTACGACACTGTAGCTCTTTTCAACGTTTTTTTTTTCAGTTGCACCCACATGCAGTCTATATCTTGTGGCATGGTGCATATTGCTTCTGATATGCATTCATTCAGTCCATGGTTTTATTTAAAATAGTATAAACAACTATGACAATGTAGCTCTTTTCAATGTTATTTTTACCCATGATTTGTGAAGGTATTTTTTAATGAAAATAAAAAAGAAGGAAAAAACCATGATGCACAAATGCATCAGATGGCATTTTTGAGAAGAAAATGTTAATACAGTTGTATCATTCTGTATAGTTTAAGAAATTTAATTTTATTTACAAAAACAAAACATAGTTTTATATGGCAATTTCTAATGGTTCAAAAGTATAGATGACATTTTGAGTGTGGGTATAAGGTAGCAGTGAATGAATTAAGAAAGCAAACATATCTGTTTTATCAATTAAAATGAAAGTTTATTTTTCCAAAAGATAACTTTTTATATCTAAATTTAGTTTCCTGTAGAAAATGCATTTTTTTTTCTTAGGATACACAGCCATTAACAAATTATGCTCTGTCATTGTCAGCCATTTATGAGGCTTTACTCTTGTAATTACACGCTTAATATCTTTTTAAATTGTATTTCTTGCTCAAAACTGACATATTTTTCTTTCAGTGTGGCTGGTACTGGGGGCCACTGACCTATGAAGGAGCTAAGGCATTACTGGACACTAAACCAGATGGATCATTTCTACTTCGTGACAGTTCTGATGATTGTTACATTCTAAGTTTGTCTTTCAAGTCCAATGGAAAAGTTTATCATACAAGAATGGAACACCACAAAGGTTAGTAAAAGAAATTGTTAGAATTTTTCTCTTTCAGGAAATTGTTTATATATCTTTAAAGAATATAAGTATAAATTGTCTCTTATGTTTGTAGTCTTCTCTACTGATTTTCACTACATGTCTATAGTCTTGTATGCATACATATGTTAAAGATGTGTCTACATGTACACATGAATGTTTTTAGTGTGTTAGCATTTATATTCCAATGAGTTATGTTCATTTTTTTTATGAGATCTTTCCCCACAAAAATTGGTTAGTACCCCAGTAATACCTGCAGTGAGGAAAGCTTTGATCTTCTGTTTTAAATGCAATCATTAGTTAGTACTTAAATGCTTGATGCTAGGATAAATTTGGCAATCTTCATCCAAAAGTGAGATTCAAGAAAATCTGATTTTAATTTTCAGATATTCTGCTTGAGATTAAATAAAATGTCTTAATTGTTAAAATATCAACTTGTATAGGAAATATGTATATTTCTTGCATAGTTCATATCAAATTCTTAACACTTGATACACACTGACATGCCAAAAATTGTGAATATGTACAGTGTATCATGTAGTTCACCCTCTAGTCCAGAGTAGTGCATAGCGTCAATTCCCCAAGTGACCACTAGAGAAATGTTGAGCTATGCTGTTTCAATAACTGCCCACAACTCCCTGATATCTGTAGGTGCAGGATCTTCTGCCCACTACATCTCATAAATACTTGATAGGGTTTGTGTGGGATGAACATGATGGACACACAATTTATCAAATGTCTCTAGAATGCTCCTCAAGCCAATTCTGAGTAAATTTATCCTGACGACATAGGTTCATCCTTGTTGAGGTATACAGAGTTTATGAATGAGTGCATTAGTCAATAACATGTTTAGACAGACTTAAAACCATACCACTTCCATAATAGTGTGAGGTGTGTTCAACACACCATTATAGAATATAGTGTGCCTTGTTGAGTCCATGGCTTCATTGGGTTTGTACTGCATTCATGCCCTACCCTCAGTTAAAACAACTGGAACTGTGACCACACCACTTGTTGCTAATCCTCTAGCAAAGTTATGAGCCAGGTAAGGTGCTGTGCTGTTAACAAGTGGAGCCTGATGTGTCATCTACATTTATATTCCATGGAAGCTAAAGGATTCTGAATTGCTGGATGTCTTGTACTTCCTGCATGGAATGTGGATATGATTTAAGTTAGCTGTTACCATAGACAATTCTAACTCTATTTATGGTTATTAAGGGCCTGTGGTCAGCCATTGTTTCCATGTTTTTTGTCATTTTGGAATTTGGTAATAATTTCCTTTTTTATAAAAAGAGGAACTTATATCCCAAACTACTCTAGTTTACAGTGCAAAAATGTGTCAAAATAGTGAAATTTCCACCAATTTCAACTCTTGACACATCAATTTCAAATCCTATCAATAAGATTCTTCTTTTATTGATAGGATCTGGAACTGATGTATTAAAAGTTGCAAACATTTTGGCCAGCAGTGGCACCTATTCTGCTGGAAGATGACAGAAAACCTCATATGTCACAAGTAAAAACTGATGATCATTCCTATTCCCTTGGTCTGTCCCTATTAATTACCATTTTTTCATTGCCAAATCATTGACAAAACTAAATCAATTCTAATGGTACTAATAGAAATGTTTGGGCAGATTTATGATGTTTTAAAATTTATGGTTTAAAATCACCATTTCTGACCAAATATATTTAAACAACTCCTCTATGCCAGTAATATCTGCAATGTCTACTGGAAATTAACTGCATTTTAAACTGGAAATTTCAAAAATAATTCTGATAATTCTACAAGAATTTTTTATTTCACTGATTTTATTTGATACTTTTTTAAAAAATGTATTTAAATGATACTACAAGAGTAAAATGTTAACAATGCCATTTAAGAAACTGACCTCTTAGAATATACAGTCTAACCTTTAAATAATAACCACTCTCAATACAAACTGATGCATATTACTTTGAGAATTTAAAAAAAAATTATAAGAGCCTTAACCTTTCATATAAACACCTGCTTGCATATCTAATGCATTAGTCATAAAATTCTGGACCTGCCATGAATAAGTAGGTTCTTTTAAGTCACTCTGAAAATTTATCTGTTTCCATTTTTAAGATTAAGAATTAGGAAAAAGAAAATTCTAAATGAACTTTAAAAACTTCATACATTTCAGTTCTGAGTGAAGATTTTTCATTTGAATTAAACAATTTATTTTCTCATTTCCCAACCACATATTATTAAGTGTTTTTCTTTCTGAAATCCAAAGTTAATTAAAGAGTAGACAAAAATTTTACCACTCACTCTTTCCAAATCAAAATATAATTCCAACTTTTTAATTTATTTCTCTTCATCCCATCAAAATTAGTGTTTGACCTTGAATAACCAACAATTCAATAATCAATATAGATCACTGTTAAAACCTTTTCACTCTCATTATAGTGTATCAAAGGAATCCAGTTTAACTGGATTCGTCCAATAAAAAAAAAATAATTTCCCTCCAGAAAGAAAATATTAGCTTTTTCTTTGAAGAAAAATATAGAATAATAGTTTCCAGTATTTTCTAGGCTACCATCTGTTAAACTTGGCAACTGCTCAGTCTCATTTCCACTTTGATCTTTCCAATATTCTGCATTTCCCATTCTTGAATCTGTCATTATAAATACATTTAGTTTTTTAATAAGGAAAGTAATTTAGGGTTTTGGCTATATATCATTGAATAATCAAACAGTTCTCCATTTAAAAATGTAATACAAGTCAAATAGTTTTCTTAAAAAGTTTTATTTAATATATTACCAAATTGTGAATATGGTTTTTGGTTTTAATAATTTTGTGAATTATAGATTGTTAAAAACACAAGTCAGAATAATTCCGAGGAAAGTGTAACTTAATTATGAAAAATGAATTATAATTTTTCAAAGATTCTTAGATACTGAATTATTTTGTTTTCATGTTTCTCTTTACATGGATGTTTTTTTCAAAACTAAACCTTATTTTATAATAACTTGCATTCTATTTCTATTTTAATGAGAACTACTTTCTTTAATATAAAAGGAGTGTAAACAACCAAACCGAGGCCAATAATACTTTGCAGTGCTGCTTTTTGAATAATCCAAGAATTATTTATAAAGCCATGCTAATGAAAACCTAGTAAAGATTAATCCTGCTACATTAAAGAACTTCTCTGCAATAATAGCTTGCTAACCATCACAATACATCATCAATAACATAACTTGTATTCCAATTTAGAAACATTCAAAATAATAAAGAAATGTAAAAAAATATTGATAAACTTAACTTTTATAAAATGAATATTGTTCATTAACTTTGTAAACTTACAGATAAAAAAATATATCACTCAGAAGTCAAATCGAGAACAAAATTATCATTTTATAATATTTTTATAGAGCTTGTAACTTAAAGAGCCACTTGAGATTGAAAAAAAGGTGAAGGATGAAATGACTAATCACTTCATCTACATATTCTCTCTATAAATTTGTCAACCATATACAATACAAGAAGGTTCTTCTTGGTTTGTCTATTTTCTATCTCTCATCTGTAATATAATTTCTTTAAATATTAACCCAACTCACTGAAAAGGAATGAGTTGTGTTTTTTTTGTTTGAGTAATTAATATGACAGTAGGTCCAAACGGGTTGTCAAAACAAGCATGAAAAACTTGAAATATTGATGATGATGATATTCATCCATGTTGACCGAGATGTAAGCAAAATATATTTTTGTAGAAATTTAGCTGAGATACTGAAAAATTTGTTAACATTTTATGTTTGTACTTAGCTAGTTGTAATTTTAACTAAGGTTAGCCTTGCATATTTTTTACAAGGTGTGTAAATTTGGGTTGGTTATATTGAGTAGAACAAACTAATTTAATTTTTTTTTATTAAAGTAGATCTTTAAGCTTGTCTTGGGCTGACACACTATCTTGAGAATTCACAAATTCTGGTAATCAGCTTTATATTTTACACATTTTACACACACATTCTACCCATTTGGAGTATTTATATGTATAAAGGAGATTTGTTATGTTGTTCTACTTGGTTCATAACTGTTTTGAGAGAGAACAAAAGAACATCCAGAGATATAAAATAACTGGAGCTTTAGATAGTCCCTACACTAGATGAGGTACAGTTTTTCTAACTTGCCAGAATAAAAAGCAATGATTATAAACTTCTGATATTTAAAAAAAAATACAGTAGTTACAAAGGAAAAGAAATCATATTAGATAAGATTTGGATTTAATAAAAAAAAAGTCTTCTTTTACATTGTATAACAGTCTATGTACCATAACAATTATATTCAATATTTAAAGCACTACAAATAGATCAACTTTTCTTTTTTTAATCCTGGGTTAATTTTCTGTCTATAGATAGAACTGATAAAATGATTAAGAGAAAAAAAATACACCCTATTATTTTATATAAAGAAAAAAATGCATGTTATTATTTTATATAAAGAAGTCACCGATTAAAACAATCTAAAATTGCAGTGCATTGATATAATAACAAATTAAAACGATTCCTTTTTTTATTACATTTGTCTGTCGCTTTGTTTTACTCTTTTTTTCTAAATTTTCTTAAAACACCACTTCCTGAAATGGAATTCTGGATGGTAGTTATTTGCATTTGGAAGATCTGGAATCTTGTCATATGTTTCCCCATGCTGCTAAATATCTGATGAACAATATACAACACTGCTACCATAAATGCATTATTGAATTAATCACATTTCATTACTCCTGTATTAAAAAAAAAACTCCTTGAAAACTAGTTGAGTTTTGCAGTTTGTTTGACACAGTATGTAGTAAGTAAAGTCTTACACAAGAAATTATTGGACTTTCAAATTTTCCCACAGGCAAAACTTAACATTTACATTTGTTTCTCTCTATTTAAGGATAGAATTCTGTATTAGTCAACTAACAGTTTATTCTTAAATTAAATTTATTTATTTTTTTAAAATTTTTTTAAAATTT